GAGTCTATGACGGAATCCACCGCTGATCCCAACAATCTTGGCATCTGCATACATAATGCCTTATATTGATAATTCCTTATTAACATTCACGGCAAATATCAAATTGACGTAACGTCCTAGTAATTTTTCCATTATTCTTAATCATTACAATTATATGTATATATAATTATAATATATATATCTGTACGATCTATTCGTTATGTGAAACTTTTGGATTCACTAGGTAATGATGCGACAGTCATATGTCATATATGTGTATATTGAATACCTGATGCTCCGACGATGGATAAGACGCGCGAATGCTATCAATGTTCAATTTGCTCGGCGAATAACTCATTTGCGATACATCCTCCAAGAATGCACAGTGTCTAGTTGGTGTACGATCCCGTAAGAAAACTGCATGTCGCGGACCTCGAATCGTCGCGTTACGGGCCACATTTGAAACATCTAAAATATTACACATATTTGAATATCGTATTATGTGAATTATAAAATGTTTTATTTAATAACAATTCTCCTTTCTTTCTTTTAACCGACACAGATATTATAGTAGATACAATAAGTAAATATTCACAAGTAATAGAGTAGAAGAACAAAATAAAAGATACAATCGTACATTACGCAGCGCGAATTTTAGCTAACGAATTACCGCGCAGTTTTTTTATTCTCACTTGTCTTTGTGAATATTTACTTATTGTTTAAATTTCAAGAATCCTATTAAAGATTATTATATGTCATGATTCAGATCTGTGTATAAAAGTACGATTAGTCATATTATAATGAAATAATCAAATTATCAGTTTAAAAATCGTCGCGATAGAATTTACACAAAGAATAAAATATTGGAATACGTAAAACTTACGTGGTAAAATACCGTGACAAAATTGGCCCCATGGACCATGTCCATGCGCGTTTGTATTCTGGACATCTGGGTGAAGAATGCTACCCATTTGCGGTGATGGATGAGGCGTTCTCGAAAGTGGATGAGGACTAGCGCTGTTCTACAATCAGAGTATCAGGCCATTTTTACAGACATTTAAAATATTAATTTAATGAGGGCAAAAATGTTTATTCACGTTTTGCCACGTAAACCACAGGTATATTTTACGTTTAATGAGATTGAAAAACGTCTGCTTTGTCTGAAAAATGAGATCGATACAATTTGTATTTGCTAATTTACATTGAACGAAATTCACAAGTCAAAATCGAGGTTTTTTTAACGCTGTCTCGTGTTTCGTCCCATGTAACTATGCCCCATTGTGTTCTGTATATTACTTGGTAAGGATGCCACTTCTGGCCGTCGACAAAGTCGGCGTATTCCGCGGATTCTGGTCTGCGAATTTCTCTCTCCGCGGTCTGGATATCCGGGGAATAGCCGTTGGAGGAAAATGCCGCGGTGGCACATTCCAATGTCTGATTTCTTTGGTCCTTGATAGGCTTCTCGAGATTACGTTGTTGTTGCTGCCGCTGCTGATGCTGGTGCTGTTGCATCGCGCCCATTGCTTGCAGCCTCTCGATCGGATCGCCGCACATATTCCCATACCAATCGCCGATTCGTGGCGAGTGTGCGGGTTTCAGGCGATGCGCGGCCTGGAACCAGGGCTCGGTCGTCTGATGAGGGCTCACATTTGGACCCATGGACATCGGCGTGCAATCGAAACGATGATGTTGATTTAGAAAGTCGCCGGCCATTGATGCGGAAACAACGGAATTAGCGCCACCAATCGCGGCTGTGCGCGCGTTTGCGGTCGCGATCGCGCTTTGCAAGATCGACCGTCGTGACAGTTCGCGAGTCTGCTCGCGCATCGCCTTCCGTAGCCTCGCCTCCTTCGGATTATACACATAATCTGCAAAAATGTACACGCGATTGTTATTAAATACAGAAATGCAAAATGTCATGCTATTATATAATCGTACTGTTTTTGAATATATAGGTACCTATAGTACGTACATATACACGTATTTAGTATAGGACAGAAACAAATAATATATACGTACAACAAACTTTCAAAAGTGATCAATCATGTTAAGACATTCATTTGAATACGTTAATATGAGATCATGTAATTTTCATTGTAACTGAAATAGATGTTTTTCAAATGATAAATATCTCGCATTTATTATATAACGAATTACCTTGAATTATTCAATTACATGCAATATCTACATACTACGCAAATCTTTGTCAGCTTTTTAAATTTTCTATTGTTAAGTTTTGTTCGGCCAAAAGAAATTTCTTTTCTTTCTA